ACAGCCTGCTCTCCACCATGATTATAAGGATTAAATAAATGACTGAGCGCAATCCACTTGGAACAGTGCCTGGAGCAGAGGAGGCCTTGGAGAAACGTTATAAGAGGCCCGGGAGGAAGGATGCGGGAGACTCGGATCCGTGATTTCCCCAGCTGTGTCCCAGGGAGGGAAAGGTGATAGACTCAGGAAGGCAGGAGAGAAGTAGCAGAGGAGCCGGGAAGAAGGAGCAATTCTGGTACTGCAAAATGCCATGGAGGCACTTGCTTGTGTTTTAAACTTTGGGCCAGAGGTCAGAGCCTGGGGGCCGCATCTAGCCTGCCACCTATTGTCATATGCCCCAGCGGCTAAGGATGGCTTTACATTTTTTTTTTTTGTACCAGGAATTGAACTCAGGGACACTTGACCCACTGAGCCCCATCCCAGCCCCTTTTTTTTTTTTTCGTATTTTATTTAGAAACAGGGTCTCACTGAGCTGCTTAGGGCCTTGCTTTTGCTGAGGCTGGCTTGGAACTCTTRATCCTTCTGCCTCAGCCTCCAAGCCGCTGCTGGAATCACAGGCGTGTGCCACTGTGCTCGGCTTGGTTTTACATTTTTTAAATGGTCAAAAACAATCCAAAAGAGAAGAGAGAAAATAATGACATGTGTAAATACCATGACATTCAAATGTCCACATTCATGAAGCTTTATTGGAACCTGGCCCCACCTTCTTATGTCTTCCAGGAGGGTTCTCTCACTGCAAAGCCTGGATTTACTGTCTTTAGAGGAAAAGTTTGCAGGTCAGAGAGGACCCCCTCACCCAGGAAGTGACATCGGAGATGACAAGAGGTGGAATACCAAGGCAGGAGTTTGGAAGTAGCGGGTAGAGCAGACCAGGCAGAGAGAACCCAGGCAGGCGCTTTCTCTCTCACCGGCAACAGTCTTCTAAGAGGGGTGCTGACAAAAATTGTGGGGGGTCCCTGAGGCCTCCCAGGCTTGGGGCAGAACTGCAACTTGCATGCTGGTACTTCTGGGCCTGGCACAGCCCTGAGCCCAGGAACTGCATGTCCAGTGGCTTTATTTGTCTTCCTGGGGCCATGACCTAGAGAGTTTAGATTAATTCCCAGGAATAGGTGAGAAGAACCTGGGACTTGACCACAGGCCTGAGAGCAGGTGACCTGCAGCCTCAGGGCTRGCAGTAGGCCCGAGGAGGCCGGGGCTGCRGTCCAAGGGCTGTTGCCCAGTGCTGACCTGGCCTTGACTGGTGAGGGCAGAGAGGGGTAGAGAGGAGCAGCCTTGGTGAACTGCAGCCAGGTGGGGTTTTCTGGGGCTACAGAAAGAGGAACAGCCTTGAGCTCTTGGGTAACAAGTGAAAGCAAATGAAAGCGAATATAAAAAGAAAAAGAAACTGAACCAGACCTCAAGGAATCAGCGATGCTTSATTAAGCAGCAGAGGGGCACACTTTCAAGAGGCAACATGGCCACGGGCTCCAACAAGGGTCTGGGTTTCACAGGGCTCAGCGGGGCCAGGTTGTGGGAGGAGCTGGTCAGTTAGGATTGCCACAGGTCAGATGCCTGAGCACCCTTTTCCCCTGAGGGTTTTGTAAATCTCCGTTTCCTTCCACAAGTCTGGCCTGAGACCACCCAGCATTCTACCTCTGCCACCCACTTCGTCTCCCATAAGGCTCTGGGTCTACTTTTATTTTAGAGCCAGAGAAACTAAGGCAGTACAGAGAAACAGGGCTATTGGTTTAAAACAAATGAGCTGAGCTGGCCATGGTGGCCTACACTAGTAGTCCCAACCACTTGAGAGGCCAGCCTGAGTGATTTAGGGCCCAGGAAGTCGCTGTGTCAAAGCTATTTATTTATTTATTTATTTATTTTGCAGTATTGAGCATCGAATCCAGAAGTGCTCTACTATTTACTACTGAGCTACATTCCTAGCTCCCTGCCCCCTGCCTTTTTTTTTTTTTTTTTTTTTTTTTAGTAGTGTTACCCAAAGCTCAGTCCTTGTCCCTGATGCCAATCCAGTAACAAGGACACAGTTTTGAGAAAAAGGAAAAAAAAGAAGGTTTATTATTTTGCTTGCAAAGGAGAAACTCAGGGGACTCCTGTCCCAAAAGGCTGTGATTCTACTCATCAAGGGGAACAGGAAGCTTTTAAAGAGATGGTTCAAAGGTTCACTTGTTAATTTGGGAGACAGTCATTTCTGAGATCTTCTGGTGCCATCCCCAAAATCTGAATTACTTCATTCCCACAGTGGGTGTGTGCTCAAGGACAGGTAACTCGATGGGGAAGAAAGGTAATCCTGTTTCTCCTGAGATTAGGGAGGGGGAGAGGTTAGGGAGGAGAACAGAGAAAGAGAAACGTGTCCTTTTGAAAAATCAGTCACGGTGGCAGAGCAGCAAGGGCTATATTCAAAGCATAAAAGGGACCCCTGTTACAGTAGTGCYGGGGACTGAACCAGGAGCAGACCCTAGTTGCACCCTCAGCCTTTTTTAATTTTTWATTTTGAAACAGAGGCTCCCTAACTTGCCCAGATTGGCCTGCGATTTGGGATCCTCCTGCCTCAGTCTCCCCAGTTGCTGGGATTACAGGTGTGCACTTTTATATCCAGCCTCCAAATAAAATTTTAAAAGGGCTGGGGGTTTAGCTCAGTGGTATAGAGAGCTTTTCTAGCATGCACAAGACCTTCTCCAGCACAACACACACACACACACACACACACACACACACACACACACACACACAAAAGAGAGAAAGAGACAGACTGTGCCTCGGTTCCAGCTTCATGGTTTGCTTTTGTGTGACTGCAGGCAAGTGGCTTGACTTCCCTGTGGTGATTCAGTTCCTGAATAACGACAGTTTCTTCTAGAAAGCTATGGAAAGAATTAAGGAAACAATAGCCTCACACCACACCCACAGGAAGGGCTCAAAAACCCAGCAGAATCTAACCTCATTCTCTCAGTTTTGACAAGAGTCCTAAAAGGTCTCGGAGGGTGGAGAACTCTGGGTTTCAGCCGGATTTCTCAGTTCAGCTCCTCAGGGCCAAAACTCTGACTTCATCCTCTTTCAACTGCCCCAGTCCATCAGCAAACCTGCCTTCCATGTGCACCCAGTCCAACCGCACCTGCCACTCCATGTCCTACCTTCATCCAAACGCCATCAGCTCTCACCCAGATGACTGTCAAGGCTTCCTGGCTGGTCTTGGGGCTTCTCCCCTAGATCCACCACACCCGGTCAACACTCCACAAGCAGCCAAGGTTGTGTCATTTGTTGGAAGGAATCCTTTCTGTGACTCCCTGAAGCACTTAGAATGAACTTATTTACCCGATGATGATTATTATTGAGTGTCTACCACCAACCTGGTACTGTTTTAGGCACTGGAGATAAAATGGAGAATAAAACAGACAAGAATCTCTGTTTTCATGAAGGTTCTGTCACAGGAGAAGAGATGTCTCTAGAGAAAGGCCACAGGAGTTCCCAGAAAACAGAGGGAACTCAACTGAGGACCAACAGGGTTCTTGCCACATATGACAGAAAGGAAAAGAATTTCTGCAAGAGCCAGACAAAGGTTTAGATAGGTTTATTGAGGAAGGTAGACATTCAAGAGAGACTTGGGCTGTCTGCAGAGGGAGAAGCAGCCCTGACTGGGACAGGGGGATCCAATATTTATAGAAGGGCTGTATCAGGGACTAGATTTTAGCTGCACAATTCTGTGCCATTTTTCCAGTGCTTGTGTATTTATTTTCCTTATTTTACAGGGACACAGGCCTAGGGTATGGGSCAAGACTTGCCCATTTGTGTTTTCTGCATCTCAATGGGTTGATTCTGCATTTCAATTGCTTGAGGGTGTTTCCCTATCTCAGTTCCACTCTCAGTGTGCAAGATGGACAATAACTATCTAAGCAAATCTCTCTATATATGAACATATGAAGCCAGGAGTAATTTACCACAGTCACATCCCAGCCCTTTTTATTTTTCTGGCTTTAACTTGAAATCCTCCTGCCCCAGCCTCCCAACTCACTGGGATCATAGGCGRGCACCACCATGCCCAGCAAAATACATGGTATTTTAGGAGATCTAATAGTTCAGGGACGGTGGGGGTCCTTGGATTTTAAATAGTCAGGATTTTAAATGGTCAGGGAAGACTTAATGCAAAAGGCTGAAGGTGGGAAAGGTGGAGCCCAAGCAGTTGCCTAGGAGCAGAGCATTCTAGACCAAGGGCTGGGCAAGTACCAGGGCAAGTGGTGCYCTCAGGGCTCCTAGCATAGGGAGGAAGCTGCTGTGATAACAGCACAAAGTGGGGAGGGAGTGGACCGAGACCCAGCTTACTGGGGCAAACGGGGTAGAGCTGATTCCTGGAGATGGTCCAGGGCTTTAAGACTGTAAGTCATTACAGGTTCTGAGCAGAAGCGTGACTGTAGTTTTAAGGATCACTCTGACTTCTATGGAAGACCTTCAGGAACGTGCAGACATTCAGGGAGTGTGTGATTAACCAGATGAGATTCTATGGCTCGGACCAGGGCAGCAGAGGCGGTCAGTCAAACCCCAAAGCCTTACAGTAGCCTTTCTGATGGGGTCCCCCTACCCGCCACCGCACTGCTGGGCACATAGTAGGCGCCTACTACTGATTTGTTGAATCAGGGGGCGGGGKGCGGGTAGCTCAGTGGTAGAGCGCTTCCTAGCAAGCATGAGGCTGCGGGGGGGGGGGGATTTTTGTCCCGGATTTTAGCCGAATGAATGTCACGGCGCTGGGTAGAGAGTGCTTGCCCTCAGGGTGAGTCACAGTGACCTCACAGGAGTTTCCCCCAAATCGTCCCCTCCCGGTAATCGGGAAAAGGCCGACTCTCCGGGACAGCGCTGCCACGTGGCCCAAACCGGATGTAAGCCCGGACAGTCCCGGGAGGGCCCTCCCACGCGCCTCCTCCCACCCTCAGGCCACTGAGATGTCAGGGCAGAGGGTCACCCTCTCGAGGTCGAGGCCCCGCCCCCCGCTCGCTGGCCCGCCCGCGCCTCCAGCGGAAGCCGGAAGCGACCGTGGGCCCCGCTAGCCCCGCGGCCCCAAACTCGGTGGTCTTGGAGGCTCCGCAGGATGGGGGAGAAGATGGCGGAAGAGGAGTGAGTGGGCTTTTCCGGGGCGGCGGAGGCGGCAGGGCTGGGCCCCGGCGGGTGACGGCGAGCCTCTGGCCCGGAAGGCGGGGCTCCTGTCAGTTGTCAGGACTGCCCCTGCCCGCGCCCACGCGGAGGGCGGGATGGGGACGTGGGCCCGGTGGGGCCCTGCAGCCCCCGGAGGTCGGACCCCGGGTTGGGGGCGCCCCGAGGGCAGCCCTGCGGAGGCCGCGGCCCACTTTCACCGTGTGGGTTTCCGCCCTGCGGAGGCCGCCGCGCGCTCCTCGCCCCGCCGCAGGAAGGCCCCGGGCCCCCCGCGCCCGCTCGCTGCCTCGCCAGCCGCAGCCTCCTCTAACGATGGGTGCGCGTCCGTCCCCTTCACCGAGTTTCATTCATCCGGTCGGCGCGGTGGCAGGCCCGAGGCACATGGTAGTGAGGGAGGCGGACCAGGAGCTGCCTGAAGTCAGACAGGGACCCACGCYGTGGGCCCAGGCCCGATAAAGGCGAGGAGTGGAGTAGCGTGCGGGTGCGGAGTTCCCAGGAAGAAGTGTCGCTTGAGCAGAAGCTTTAACCAACAGGAGGAACGGGAGGGGTGACAAGTTCCAAAGACCTTTCTCAAGAGAGGGTTTAGTGCTTTGGAGTGAATGAAAGAAAGGCAGCAGAAAGGGTGGAGTGTAGAAAACAGGCGAATGAGCGCCATGTGATGAGGTAGGGAGGGCGTCTGTGTCTTCCAGGYCTTTGTGGCCAAGGTCCATCGCCATCGTTGCAGGCCACCATCTGTTGCACATTCTAGACACCCTGTCAGTGTTTGTGGAATGAGTATGTGATGGTTAACAAGGTACCCATTGATACTGGACTTCTTCACCTGATAACCTTTCAATAGCCCTTGGCCAAGTGGGGGCCAAGTCATTCWGTTGACTGACTTATTGGGCATCTGCTCCAGACACTGAACTAGTCCTCAACAGCACAAAGCAAAGAGACTGGACTAGCCCCGTGCTGTCAGGCTTGGRTTGAAGCTTGATTCTGCCATTGACTAATAAGGATGTTGGTCAAGGTATGGAACCTGGAGAGGTAGTGTGTTACCTTGTTCCTGGAATGAAGCAGGACGCAGTAAATACCAACTGTTACAATCACAATTAACCATTATTATCATGTCAGTATTGCCCTAGCTCACAGTCCCAACACAATATGAAAAGAGAGCCTTGGCACAGAAGCCATGGGGTGGGTACACTGGGTGGGGTGGAGTATTATAAAGCAGGTAACCTGAGCGTTTTGAAATCTGAGTAGGATTTTGTAAGGTAGGGTAGGTCATTCTGACCAGAGTGACAGTTGGGCAAATTCAGGTGGTTTCTTCCACATGCAGAAATAATACAAAGAACACGAACTGGATAAATAAAAGCATGAAGTAATGGACCTTGGGATGTGTTGAGACCAGTTGCCCCCATCAAGTACGAAAAAGCAGGACATATTTCGTTTCTATGCCAGCCCACATTTGCCCTTGTTCCTGGCCTCAGAGAGGCTATAATCAAAGGCACCTGAGGCCTTTATTACYCTCCTGCAGGCAGGGGTTTCCTTCATCTCCATTTCTCTGAGGCCTGCCTTCTCTTTGGGAGACTTGTGAATCCCATGAAATTCTTTGCCAGGTTCTCTTCCATTTTGAGGTGTGTGTATTGATATTTGAGACTCCTTTCTGTCATCTAATTCTGCTTTTTATATTCTCCAACAGGTTCTCCAATACAACTCATGAGGGTTTCAATGTCACCCTMCACACCACCCTGGGTGTCACGACCAAACTGGTGCTCCCGACCCCTGCCAAGCCCATCCTCCCTGTGCAGACAGGCGAGCAGGCCCAGCAGGAGGAGCAGTCAAGTGGCATGACCATTTTCTTCAGCCTTCTTGTCTTAGGTGAATATGGAGCCCACCATTGCCCTCAGGAGTGTCTGTGGTTGACCCTGTCATCACTGTCAGGCCTTCCTGCCATGTGGTTCCACTTTCAACACTGAGGGCCAGTGGTCATAACACCGTAAGGGTCTATGGAATCATGGGGCTAAGCAGTTCTGAAGAGCTCTTAGTGTAGTATCCTGACCTTTGAAAGAAGGAATTAAAGAATTTTTGACCCAAAAAGGATCTTGAACAACTGTTAGTGGATTTCGTATTCTGCTCATAAGAATGTGTGTGTGTGTGTGTGTGTGTGTGTGTGTGTGTGTACATGCACACATGTGTGAAGGTGGTGGGTAGGAGGTAGGGGGAGCCAAGTGAGAACACATCTGACTTCCTGTCCCTAACTTACTTCAACCAAAGCAGCATTTTGTCTGTTGTATTTATTAGGTTTCTGGGTATATTTCTAATTTAGTTTAAGGTTTGAGTGAAAGACCAAACCCTTGTGTCMGACACCATTCAACTGTCATTCCCATTGGCTGTGGTTGTGACCTTTGCCATCTCTGCACACTATCTGTGCTCTTTCCTTTTTTTATAATATTTTTGTTTAAATGGGCTAATTTTGTCCAAGTTAAAATCTTACCTGTTCACCTTCCTCCACCAGCGGGTGAGGAAGTGTAGGCCTAGAGAGGTCAAGCAATTGCACACCTGGCTGGTGGAGACTAGTGGCTGATATCCAGCTTGCCAGATGCCAGTCAGGAGGTCTAGATAAAGAGGTCAGAACTTCAGTGCCTCCCAGAGACAGGAGATGGACAGAGGTCAGCTGTTTTGGAGAAATTGTACAATCACTTTAGATTAGCTGAGTATGGACAAAGAACCTGGAGGGTGACGGGACCCAAGTCCAGACTCTCATTTCAAAAGTTTGCATGTTTACACTTGCTGCTTTTCCTTAATGATACTGAGGTCATTTTAATTAGATTAGACCTTTTCAGAGGAGTGAAAGGAACTGGGTTTTTATGAGTATTGTTTTGATGTTTAATAGGACTGGTTTTGGAGAAAAAGTGTAATTTTGTTCACATTTATATTCAGACTCTGGYAAATGGTCAAAAAGTTTTAACAGTATAGTAGTTTATTGGAAATCCTAGGATCCATCCTTTTCCRTCATAGAATTTTAAAAACTTTTAAATTGAATAATGAGAAAGTACACATTGCGAAGTGTACAATGTGTGGGACGTAGTACACCTGGACTATTTTTTTATCCAGTAAATGTAATTGAATGGTCTCTAGTGGATTGCTTCCAATAATCAAGGACTCTTTGGTTTTGTTTTCTTTTCCTTTGGTTATAGTAATTGAATACAAAGAAGAAAAGCAGTTCTCTTCTTTATTAAGAACTCTTCAGGACCTGACTTCATCTTTCAGGATGGAGCGTTGTTAGTCTGTTGACACTGCTGGCAGCCTACTCTGTTAGAGAATAGAAGAGGCAGCCTGGGAAAAACTTCTGGGATCATTTTTTTTAAGGGAGGATGAAATGTTAAAGAAAAACTTTCAGGATGTGGGGCACTTAAGATTAACTTGTGCTGGAGATCACAAAACAGGTTTCGATAATGTGCCTTCTAATCTCAGCAAAATCCTGCCCAGTATTAGCTCATCTTGGGGGCTGGGAGGGCCGAACTGTACTTAATAGTGCTGGGTATTTTTCTTGATTGTTTTCTCTTCAAACTAATCATAAACCTAGACTCTAGAGTCACACTGTTGTTCCGTGRGTTTTGTTTTCACCTAATCAGATTCTTGGATGAGTTAGTGTCTCTACTTACTTATCAGCAGGCATTGACAGAAGGGARTAATGCTTGCTTTTGTTTTTGTTTTATTTTTGCAGAGTTGGGGATCATACCCAAGAGAGCTCTGTCACTGAGCCGTATCTCCAGCCCTTTTTATAGTTATATATTTTGAGACAGGGTCTCACTACCTGGCCTCAGCCTCCCAAGTAGTTTAGATTGCACAAGTGGAACAGGGTGCCCCAGCCATTTACCACTTTTGTTTACTATTTTAGTTAAATCAAATTAAATTGTAACTTTGTCTCCTATAAGCATATCACAGGATTATGGTGTTTCYTCTTTGTTATGAAGGGATGACCAAACTCTATAGTTACTTTTGACTTTTAGAAACTTGAATTCACTTGACTTGCATTTAACCTGGCTGATCTTTGACTTCACTGGAAACAATGATGAGTCATTATTATTGACTTAAACTAGAGTTAACAATTAACATCATTTACTGCATCTTATGGGCCATTAAACTTAATGGAGTTATTAAAATTGACATGTTTRTTTTAATGTATTTTCCATAATTGCCAGGTCAGGCACAAAAAAAGAGAAGCACATTAGTTTATGGGATGCACTCCTTCCGTACCACACAAGTTTTTTCCCCTTACTGTACTTGAAGGCATGTTTGCATGTATGTATATGCACATATGTCCATTTATAAGCACATAGGGGTGTGCAGGCACATATAGTTTGGAGTTTATTTTAATATAAACAGAATTCTGTGATTTTCTTTTTCTCACAGAATGTCTGTGCTTTCTTTTTTCATGTTAGTAGATTTTATATCCACTTCATTTTTAATTGTGGTAAAATAAACAAAATATCATTTAAACCATTTTAAAGTGTGTAATTCAGCTAYATTTATTCCGTTCACAGTGTTGTGCAGCCATCTAGATCCAGAATATTTTCTTTTTCTATGGTTCTGGGGATTGAACCCTGAGGCGCTGTGCCACTAAGCTACATCCCAGGCTTTTTTWAAATATATTGAGCCAGGACTTTGCTAAGTTGCCCAGGCTTGGTTTGAACTTGTGACTTTCTGGCTGAGTGTCTCTGGGCTGTTGTTTTAATTATAGCTATCCCATGTGCCACTGTGCCTGGCTCGGAATATTTTTATCACTTTAGAAGGAAAACATTAAAACAAAGCATAAGGGYTGGGCTGTAGCACAGTGGCAGAGTGCTTGCCTAGCACGAGTGAGGCACTGGGTTTGATCTTCAGCACCACATGAAAATAAATAAAATAAAGACATGCTGTCCACCTATAACTATTAAAAAWTTTTTTTTAAAAAGCATTAAAAGCAGTTAATCCTTAGTCTTTGTTGCTGTAGCAATCACCATGTTGCTCTCTGATTCTAGGAATTTACCTATTAAGAATATTTCATATAGCCTGGGTGTGGTGACACACGCTTATAATCCCAGGGGCTTGGAAGGCTGAGACAGGAGAATTGTGAGTTCAGAGCCAGCTTCAGCAACAGCAAGGTGCTAAGCAACTCAGTGAGATGCTGTCTCTAAATAAATACAAAATAGGGCTGGGGATGTGGCTCAGTGACTGAGTGCCCCTGAGTTGAATCCCTGGTTCCCCCAACAAAGAATATTTTCATATATACGGAATCATACAATGTGAGACCTTTGTGATTGGCTTCTTCACTTAGCCAAGAATCCTTAGCCTAAGGATTCTTCCATGTCAGAGCATGTTTTAGAATGCACTCCTGTTTATGCTGAATAATAGTCCATTGTATGGTTATGTTTATTCGTTTGTTTATTCATTCATCAGGTGATGGACACTTAGATTGTTTCCACCTTTTGACTATTCTGAATAGTGCTTCTGTGAACATTTGTGTACAGGTGTTTTTTTTTTTTGTGTGTGTGTGTGTGTGTGTGGATCAGGTACTGGGTTTCGAACCCGGGGTGCTCTATCACTGAACTATATCTCCCACCCTTATTTTTAAAATTTTTTATTTGTTCTTTTTAGATATACATGACAGGGTATATTTGGACATACTATACATATATGGAGTATATGTTTTTTGTTTTGAGACAGGGTCTGGCTAAGTTGCTCAGGCTGGTCTTGAATTGGCAGTACTCTTGCCTCAGCCTCCTGAATGGCTAGGATTATGGACAGACATGTGCTAATGCACTTGGCAGTGTTTTTCTTTCTCTTGGATATTTACCTATGAGTGAACTTGTTTGATCAAATGGTTATTTTGTTTAACTCTCAGGAACTGCCAAACTCTTTTTCATAGTCTGCACCGTTTTTTAAGAGTTTGGTTTCTCCATGTTTTTATCAATGCTTGTTATATTCTTTTTTTTTTTGTTGTTGTTGTTGTTCCAGGGATTGGACCCAAGATTGGTTTCTCCATGTTTTTATCAATGCTTGTTATATTCTGCTTTTTTTTTGTTCCAGGGATTGGACCCAAGAATGCTTAACCACTGAGCTACATACATCCCCAGCACTTTTTATTTATTTTTTATTTTGAGACAGCATCTCACTAGCTTGCCACAGCCTCAATAAGTTGCTGAGGCTGGCTTCAAATATGTAATCCTCCTGCCTCAGCTTCCTGAGCTGCTGGGATTACAAACATGCATGACCACGCCTGGCTGTTGTTTTTATTATAGTCATCCCAGCTGGGGATGTAGCACTCCCCTGTAATCCCAGCCASTTAGGAGGCTGAGGCAGGAGGATGACAAGTTCAAAGCTAGCCTATAAAACTCAGGGAGACCTTGTCTCAAAAAATAAAATGGGCTGAGGATCAGTGATAGAGTGCCCCTGGGTTCAAGCCCAGCATGAATAAGTCAATAGATAATAAGATGGATGGATCCGAGAGGATGTGGTTTGGTTTTGTTTCTCTAGGACTGTTGATGGTGAGCCCTTTTCCTGTGCTTACTTGCCATTTACTTGGAAAAATGTCTGTTAAGTTCTTCGCCCATTTTTAAACTGTGTTGGCTCTTTGTTGTTGGCTGTAGGAGTTCTCTGTATATTCTCTGTACTAGTCCATCTTCATATATAGTAGTGCAAATATTTTCCCCCATTCTGTGGGTTGTCTTTTCAGAGTTTTTTGTTAGTGGCTGAGATCATTACCTGGCATTGATGGACTTCATAGTTAGCACTTTGTACTAATAGACAATTTCTCCTTAAAACTGCATATAATCATTTGCTTTTTATATGAGTAAACTTTTCAAGTTAATTTTTAGAAATCCAGCTTGGTGCAAAGAAAGAGCAGAAACTGATGCCGTTTTCTGTCTCCTCATGCTCACGTGCTCTTTCCTCTGGTCAGCGCATGCTCATCAGCTTGCATCTGGGGACTTTTTTCATGCTTTTATTATTTAATGTAGATTTTCTAACTAGGTTAAATATTTATATTAAAATAACATCACAGATTAATAGTGTGAAGCACAGAATGAACGAGGGGTAACTCTGTATAACTGTTTGCTTTCTTTGGCCACCTGGTGCTTTTTAGTGGGATTGAAGAAATCTCATTTGTTAGTGTGGGCTCTGAGGGTGTTAACAGTTATGCAGATTGTTTAAATATTTCCTTTAAAAAATTCAGTTCTAGTAAGATAATACTGTGATTAGCAGATGGTATGCCGCAGAGGAGCCTAATGAAAGACAGAGTCTCCGTACTAAGGTCTGGACCATGAAGTATTATTCGATGCTTACTTTTTTTTTTTTTTTGGTACTGGGGCTTGAAGTCCAGCACTCACTACTGAGCCTCATCCCCAGCYCTATTTTGTATTTTATTTAGAGGCAGGGTCTCACTGAGTTGCTTAGCRCCTTGCCCTTGCTGAGGCTGGCTTTGAACTCGTGATCCTCCTGACTCTGCTCCCCGGCCACTAGGATCACGGGCGTGCACCACCATGCCCTGCTGCAGTACTTTCTTTTTTTAAATAGTTTTACATCCTCTTCTCTTGTTTCCTGGCAGAACTCCTGTGAGACAAGTGAGGCTTGAGTCCTGTTTTGGAGGTTGAGGAATGGAGGCTGCCAGCCAGGTGGGAGGTGGCAGAGAGCACTGTGGCACAGGGCACAGGGCCGCAGCACCACCTGTGATCCAGTGAGCCAACTTTGAGGCATGCTCAGTGTAGTTCCGGACTCTTGGGGAACTGCTCGGCCCAGCTGTAGCCAGYTGGGGAGCAGGAGTATCCCATCTTCGAATCTCTTTGACGTTTTCTTCACTAAACCAAAGTATTGACCTTTAAACATCCTCACTTTCTTCATAATAGAGAGCTGGTCAGGTGGTGACAAAGTATCTCATGTCTACATAACCTGTTGCAGTTACATTTGCGTAAAAGTGATTTCATTGATTTCCTCTTCACTGTTTAGAGTTTTCCAGTTGAAAATCAGTTTAAAAAAATAGGACCATTTCTCATAATCAGGAAAATCTATGTAATTTAAAGGCTTGTATAAGTTTTTGCAGCTTATTAAAACATCAGCTACCAGAAAACAAAGTAGTTCAGGCATACAAAGAAGTATAGAGAAATATTATAAAAACTGTAAGTTTAAGTTTACTTCCAGGTTAAAAGCTAAGATAATATATAGAAGAATGAGAGGTTATACTCCATTTATGTATGATGTGTCAAAATGCATTGACTGTCATGTATAACTAATTAGAATAAGAAAAGAAAAAATTTTTTAAAAGACAATGAAAATATAATCGAAACTCACTGTGTCATTACCAAGCGTCTATTATGCTGATAGCTCCCCSGCCCCCAATAAACACTGCTTTGAACTTGATGTTTATTCAAATTTGGGCTTTTTTTTTTTTTAAATRCTGTCTTATTTTTTCCCACAGCTATCTGCATCATATTGGTGCATTTACTGATCCGATACAGATTGCATTTCTTACCAGAGAGCGTTGCTGTTGTTTCTCTAGGTAAGTGCTTATTGGTGATCTCATAATAAAAGTGATAACAGTAACTACCATTTTTTTAAGTGCCTCCTTAGTGCTGGAAACTACAAGAGTTGCATTGGATATTTGATTCCATTTCTTCCTCACTGTTGCCTGCGTAGGGTGTTATGAGCGCACATCAAAGATGAGAACCTGGGCTCAGACAGTGGTGGTCACCCTCTGCAGGTCATGCAGCAGTCGGTCTATATAGCAAAGGCCTTTCTGTGGTCTCCTGCTTCTCACTGCCCTTGGTGCACATTAGCCTCTGCTGCTCAACTARGCTGATGTCCTCCTAAGTTAAGGCAGGTGGTTGATGGTTAATTTACAGGATCACTATTTTTTTGCCCCTTGAAACTGAATTTAATTGAGGGCCTTACATATGGCAGGCAAGTGCTCTACCATTGAGCTACATCCCCAGCTCTTTTTTTGAAGCAGGGTCTGGCTTAGTTGCCCAGGCTGGCTGCAAACTTGTGATCCTCCTGGCCTCAGCCTTCCTAGTTGCTGGGATTATAAGTGTGTGCCACTGTGCCTGGTTCACCATCATGCCTTTTTTATTTTGAGACAGGATTTAGGTCAGTTGCTGAGAGTCTCATTAAATTGTCCAGGCTGCCAGGCACAGTGGTGCAGGCCTGTAATCCCAGCAGCTTGGGAGGCTGAGGCAGGAGGACTGTGATTCAAAGCCAGCCTCAGCACCTTAGTGAGGCACTTAGCAACTCAGTGAGACCCTGTCTCTAAATAAAATATAAAATAGGGCTGAGGATGTGGCTCAGTGGTCGAGCACCCCTGAGTTCAATCCTTGGTATCAAAAAAAAAAAAAAAAAAAAAAAAAAAAATCACCCAGGCTGGCCAACTTGCTAACCTCCTGTCTTAGCCTTCCAGATTGTTGGGAGTGTGGGTGGTGCACCATCATGCCTTGGTTTCCAGTCTACCCCACTTAACTTTCTCTGTTTCCTGTGGCAAATAATTGTTAAGATAATTAGCTTTTAATTGGGGAGAATGAATCTATGTAATAATAGGTGTGAACACAACGCACAGGTTCATTGAAGTCGTTTGTGAAGAAAGAAGCAGGGATTTCAAGTGATATTAAATTCTAGTCTAAAATGTTTGTAGTTGCTCAAGGCACGGTAAGGAGTTTCCTAAGATCACCTGAGACTTTTATCTGTTTCTTTCAGCTATTTTTACTAGTTTCCACTTACCTACTGTTAATTTTTCCTTATCACCACTGATGATTTATAAGTTAATTTTCTTTGCCTTTGGATCTCAATTACTGGACTAGTAATTCTTTTTCTTTTCTTTCTTTTTTTTAAAATACCTTGTTTATGTAGTTGTAGTTGGACACAATATCTTTATTTTATTTTTATGTGGTGCTTAGGATCGAACCCAGGGCCTCGCACGTGCTAGGTGAGCKCTCTACTGCTGAGTCACAGCCTTAGCCCGGGGACTAGTAATTCTTTTGCAACGTAGTTATGGTCTGTGTTAGCTTCGGAAATGAACAGATTGTTCACCGGCTCCATACACTGATGCCGACCCTCCTCTGTTTCCCTGGACCTCACAGTACTACTGAGTGCCGTGCTCTAGCCCCTGAGCTTTCATGTGCCATTTCATTTTAGTCTTGTAACTTCCAGTACCACCATATCTTAAGGAGCAGGCAGAACTGGATAGTAATGTTTTTGGTTTTTTTTTTTGTACCAGGGATTGAACCCAGGAGTGCTTAACCACTTAGCCACATCCCCATCCCTTTTTTATTCTTTGAGACGGGGTCTCACTAAGTTGCTTAGGGCTTTGCTAAGTTGCTGAGGCTGGTTTTGAACTCATGCTTCTCCTGCTGGGATTATACAGAGTTGGAAACTAGTTTTACTCAGGGTTCYTGCTCTTTATTTAACAGGGGATTTTATTTTGTTTTGTGATGCTGGGGTCAAACTCTGGGCCTTGTGCTTGCTCTGCAAGTTCTCTACCAGTGAGCTACACCCCCAGCCTTCTGGTCCCTATCCCTTGGTGCTGAGGGTGGAACCCAGGGCCTTGCCCACACTAGGCAAAAGCTCTGCCACTGAGCTATAACCTGAGCTTAACCCGCAGGTTCTTTGGCATGTATCCTGGCAGGTTCGAACAGCCTTGGCTGAGCATGGGAGGCTAACTCATTAACATTCCTTTCCTGCTGTTAGGCACATTGAAAATAACCTCCATAGGTAATACCCATTATTCTGCCGCATTCAGCAAAGGCTTAAAAAACCACATCAAGCAATTTATGGCTTTGTGGTTAATTCATAGTTAGTTTCTTAAGAATAAAAATTATGGATGGTGTTTATTTAGGTTGGATGTAYGTGAAAATTAAAATGATAATTCTCATAATTTGGTTTGGAAAGTTGTGTTCTTCACTGTCTCACCAAACATCAGTGCTTACGTTAGGACCTAGAGCAGACATTTTCGCTTGCCTAMCTAGGAGTCGTTTCCCTCTTCTTCCTTGGAAATAGAACCCTGCATTTTATCAGGTGTCCTCCACAGTGTATGCTCCAGGAGGAGGGGGCCGTCCAAGTCATGCTTTGTCTTTGCCATCATGGTGACTCCACCCTTCCTTGCCTGTGGTGGAGCCAGTGGGGTAGTGTGAAGCTCCCTTCTGGCCAGTGACAGTAACAGGAAGTACACTGGGGTGGTTGGTCTTGGAAAGTGCCCTTCCCCAATAGAAACAAGTGAAATTTCCCACTCTTCCCTCTGATACTGTGGATTGAGGATGTGATGCCTGGAGCACTGGTAGCCATTTGAAACCACTGTGATTAACTGTGCCTCAAAGACAAAAGCCAGAAGGGGAGAGAGATGGGAAGCCCAGATTTTTTTTTTTTTTTTTGTATTGGAGATTAAACCCAGGGTTCAGTGTAACTCTACTACTGAGCTACATCCCCCCCCTCTTTTTTTTTAATATTTATTTTTTAGTTTTTTAGTTGGACTCAATATCTTTATTTATTTTTACATGGTGCTGAGGATTGAACCCAGGGCCTCACATGTACTAGGCAAGTGCTCTACCCCTGAGCCACAACCCCAGTCCACCCAGCCCTTTTAATTATTTTGAGACAGGACCTTATTAAGTTGCTGAGGCTGGATTAGCACCTGTGGTCCTCCTGCCCGAGTCTCTGGAGTCTCTGGGATTTTAGGTGTGTCCCACCATACCCAGAGAAGATTGATCACATTTTTTTTTTTTTAAAGAGAGAGAGAGAGAGAGAGAGAATTTTTTTAATATTTATTTTTTAGTTCTCGGCGGACGCAACATCTTTGTATGTGGTGCTGAGGATCGAACCTAGGCCGCACGCATGCCAGGCGAGCGCGCTACCGCTTGAGCCACATCCCCAGCCCCCGATTGATCACATTTTTAACCAATAGCCCTGAAGCTGCTTATCTCAGTGATGTCTGTTACATGAGAGAATAAATACCTATTGTTTAAGCCTCATTTATTTATTTATTTATTTATTTTTACTTGCAGCTGAAAGCATCTTTATTTTATTTATTTATTTTTTGGTACTGGGCATTGAACCAGAGGTGCTCTACCACTGAGCTACATACCAAGCCCTTTTTATTTTTTGAGACCTGGTCTCCCTAAGGAGAGACCTGGTCCCTGAGGACCAGGCTGGCCTCAAATTTGCAATCCTCTTGCTTCAACTTCCTAAGTCGCTGGGATTACAGGCATGAGCCACTGCACCTGGCTAAAAGCATCTTAATATAGAACTCTTCCATTTGATGAACAAACTTAATTTGATTTAGAGAAGACAGATTGGTGGGCGTGGAGCGGTGCACCTGTTGGCTTATGTAACTAGAAAGCTACAGGTGGCACTGGCTTTCCCTTCCCACTGACCTGGATCCCGATCTCTGGACTGGTCCTCCATTCCTCCTGCCTTCTGTTTTGTTTGGCTGCCCTCAGGCAGGCTGTGTGGTAAGCCTTACAGCAGCAATTGAAGTAGAAAAGATGGCCTCCTCTTCCCTCTGGCAGCAGATGGATGAATGCCACGTGGCCACCTCAGAATTGGGGTGCAGTGGTGCTGGGGTCACCTGAAGATAAACCATCTGCAACGTTCAGCTCTACATTGATGCTGCAGAAATAATTGCAGCCTGTCGAGCTGGTGTGGAGTTTGAGATTGGTGATGGAAAGTAAGGGTTGCTTTCAATACTTCTTTGCCAACTCAGGTGATTAGAAAGCTAAGAGAGTGTCCGGGAAAAGAGTGCCAGGGTCCAGAAAGAGTAGTATTTGAAAGGACAGTGGGCTGGGGRTGTTGCTCCATGGTAGAGCACTTGCCCACCATGCACGAGGGAAAAGAAAAAAAGAAAAGTAACTTTATTACTTTGGAGGACATTTTGTTAGAATTTGGAAATGCTGACGAAGCTATGAAAATAGTTCTTATTTCATAAAGCCAAGGATGTTAAAGGAAAACGTTTCTTCATGGAGCAGATCATAATGAACCACTGAGACCGCTTTCAGGAAGGCCCTTTGYACTAGAAAAGCATCCAGAGGTGCTGGAGAGCCGCCTTCATTCTTCCGGGGATAAGTTTTGCTAGCCTGCTTCTTCCAACCAGCAGTTACAAATAATCTGCAGTCACCTAGAGCCTTTTGTGTTATGGCTAAGGATTCTGAGTTCCTAAGAAATGTCATAGAGAAGGACCAGATACACTCTGAAGCTTTTTCACCTGTTGTGTTGTTGCTGTTGTTTGAAGCACTGGGGATTGAACACGGGGCTCTTTATAACTCAGCTATATCCCCAGACCTTTTTTTTTTTTTGGTTGTAGATGGACAGAATGCCTTTATTTTATTTATTTATATGTGGTGCTAAGGATTGAACGCAGTGCCTCACACATGCTAGGCAGGCGCTCTGCCACTGAGCTATGACCTTAGCCCTCCCCAGTCCTTTTTAAAAATTTTTTTCATTTTGAGACAATCTTGCTAAGTTTCCCAGGCTGACCTTGAACTTCAGATCCTGCTGCCTAAGCCTCCTGAGTATGTGGAA